CTAGTACGTAATAGGTGCTCAGAAAATGTGTGTAGCATAAATGAAATCATTCTACTCAGATCTTATCATTAAAAAATCAAAACATGATTCATACAATTGAAAACAAATAACCAACACTCAGAAAGTTATATAATAACCAGAAAATTAATTTTTCTTACTTCAAGTTACTATTTTGACTCTATCATCTAAAGAACCAAAGGCTTCAGAAATTATACATAAACACAAAATCAAAAGGCAGAACAACATCAAATAGTGTTAAGCCACTCTACTCCATTGTGTGGGGGGAGAGGAAGGGTGTCAGTTCTTCGTCAACACTAGCCTCTCTCACTAGTAAAGTCATGCCTTAAATATGTGGGATTCGAATCCCAGAAAGCATGGCCCCTGGACTCTCTGTCAACCCAGAACTAAAACCATTCCCGAGGCCAACTCTTCAGACAAAGATTAGACTGGACTATGGGACATAAAATGATACTTGTGAAGAGTGTGCTTCTTAGCTCAAGCAGACATGAGACTAAATGGGCAGCTCCTGTCCGGAGGTGAGATGAGAAGGCAGAGAGGGTCAGGAGCTGGTGGAATGGACATGGGAAATCAGGGGTGGAAAAGAAGAGTGTGCTGTCACAGTATAGGGAGAGCAATTAGGGTCACATAACAACGTATGCATAAATTTTTGTATGAGAGACTAACTTGAACTGTAAACTTTCACTTAAAATACAACAATTTAAAAATAAGGGAGGCAAAAATCGGCCTCATGAAAAAAAAATATATATATATATGGGGGATTCAAGATGCAGCATCTTCATATCATTTCTAGAGCTCACTCCCCTACTCAACTTGAGAAAATACATTCCAAAGTTAACATCAAATTACTAATTGACAACCCATGATGTTTAATGACATGCTACAGTCTGGGCCTAACCAGATAATTACATAAAATCCAAAGCTCTATTACTAATGCATTGTTCAAAATGTGCTGAGTGCAAGATCAGTGTTGCCAACTTTAAAAAGAATAAAAATAAAAGGGTCATTATGAGGATGCATATATGAAGAAAACCAAAGTGAATTTCTTTACATTTTGATTTCATTAATCTTAAACAGAAGTCATTAAAGTCCTCAAATGCTACTCTGAAAAAATTCTCACACAAACTCATCAAAAAATTGAGGATATAAATGAAAGTAGTTCCACTCTATAGAAAACATGTCATCCTCCAGTTTTCCAGAACCACAAGGAACTAAATGAAAACCACTGAATCACAAGCCTTACGCTTTATGAATTCACTATATATACTACAGTTATTGAGTTAGTTTCTCTATATAGTGGAAACTTTAATCTTAGCTAATACTATATAGTTATTATGCAGTCAGCCCCTTTTTACCTCCAGACGAATTATCATCAACATCAATCACCCATGTGGTCAGTGCTATTTCCCTTTTCCCATCTTCACTATCCCCCTCCCCTCCTCAGTAACTTAAGAGTGGAATAAACTGAGTCATTTCCTTTACTCTCAGTCCTTTGTAACCCAATAGTACTTATTCTTCTATACATGATGGATGCTTATTGAGAAGCTGAGGGAGGCTATGAAGTCCAGGACAATGAATGTACCTACATTAGCTCAAATTTTTTTCATACAATTTCAGGAGCTTAAGAACCCCTATCCTCCTACACATATAATTTCTATTACCATATGGTTCTCTTTTGTAACCCAACACCACAACTCCTTTACAAGCACACACAATTAAGGGCTATTACGCCCAGCTGCCACCGAGTAAACGCAGACTTATGGCAATCCCATGTGCATCAGAGTAGAACTGTGCACCACAGGGGTTTCGATGGCTGATTTTTTGGAAGTAGATCACCAAGCATTTCTTCTGAAGCACTTCTGAGTAGACTCAACCTTCCAGTCTTTTGGTTAGCAGCCAATAGGCTTAACATAATAGTACTCAAAAAAATAAAATTTAAGTAACGCTTTCGGCTGCTAACCAAAAGGTCAGTGGTTCGAACTCACCAGTGGCTCTGCAGGAGGAAAGATATAGCAATCTGTTTCCATAAAGATTCCCCCGCTGCTGTTGAGTCGATTCTGACTCATAGCAACCCTACAGGACAGAGTAGAACTGCCTCATAGCGTTTCCAAGGCTGTAATCTTTACAGGGAGCTCTAGTGGTGCAGTGGTTAAGCGCTCAACTGCTAACTGAAAAGTCAACGGTTCGAATCTACCAGCGACTCTGCTGGAGAAAGATGTGGCAATCTTCTTCCATAAAGATTGGAAACTCTCTGGGGCAGCTCTACTCTGTCCTATATAGCGTTGCTATGAGTCGGAATTAACTTGAGGGAAGACAACAAACAAAAAAAGCTTTATCTTACCGGCAATATTTTAAGTTAAGAATTCCAGATGAACTCTTTCCTAAAAGGCCTCAGAAAAACATGTTGAGAACTTTAGTGCTAACACTAAAGACTGGGCCCCATACAACTCAAAAAAAAAGAATAGGACACTTATAAAAAAGTTTACCAAGTCTTGTTGTTTGGTCAATTTGCTTGCCTTACAATATGCTGTAATGTCCTCCTAAATTTGTTTTTATTATCTCTGACCCATCTGCTTGTAAAATCATGTAAAGCTCAAAATTTGAGCAAAAGAAAGTTCACATTGACATCAGTAAACTGCTGGATTCAAATACTTGTTCTACTATATCAAGCCATGTTCAAAACCGAACAGTGAAGCTAGTTAGGAATTGAATGTGATACCATCTCCTAACTATCTAGTTACCTTGTCCAAGCAAGTAAAACATAAAAGATAAAACAGGACAAACGGCCAAAGGGAAGGGAAGAATATAATCTAGGTGTTATTACTAACAGACACAGATAAGTGCTTTTTCTTGAGAGCCTGCTTCTTAACAGTTCATGCTGGATGTACCAAACTATTTGTGGAAACTTATCAGTTGACTTTTTTTTTAAAAAAGTTCTAATTGCTGATGAAACCAGTTTTATACTGGGTCCAAAAAAAAAAGGAAAGATGCTCACTCTCTTATGGCAAACTGATACATTTCAAAATCACAACATTAGAATTTTTAAATACATTAACTTTGGTGAAACACAAAACTTTTCTAAGTTTCATGATTGTAGGATGCAGAGTCTAGAAGTAGTAATGAAGCACTCTCATTAAACCTCTGCCAGCAAAGACAAATAAAACCCTGTGATTTGATTTCTTCACTTGTAAATTACTGGGGTAACAGCACTCATCCGGGAAGCAAGTTCCCAATTTGCCTCAAGTTAGGATGGAATTAACGAGACTTAATTTGTCATTTTAATCTACCCCACCATGTCCCTTCGCACATTATAAATGCTGAATTATTTCCTGAAATGATAAGGCTTTGACCACTGTTTTCCAATACGGACAGTTCATAATTGAAAGGCAAACCAGAGGCAAGAGAGAAAAGTACAACAGGCACACACCAAATGGTCAAACACAGCTGAAGTTATATGTCACCGTCCCCTTCCCTATTATAATCGAGTTGCTGGCTAAAAGTGAAAACCAGACGTGCAACATGTGGCTTGTGCTTCAGATCTGGACTAAGAATCTTCAGATATAAGGAGTATTTGCTGAATTTGTGCAGGAAAGCCCTTTTCTTGCATGCCACCCAAATTAGAAAGTTTACAAAAAGAGGAACACTTTTTACTGATGAGTTGCGGAAACTCCAATATTTCCCAATCGAATACCAGGCCCCACAGATTTCATTCCTCCGCACATGAAGTCAGTGGCAGGAAATGGACTGTTACCACTGGTTCACACTATCAGGACATTGAGACTTGCACAGCCTCTCTACTGCTTTTGAGCGTTCTTAATCAACTAAGTAGCAGTGCAGTATGACTCTGCCTGTTACACACGCGACAGTTGGTGGTACCTCACCAAGCCTCCAACTCCCACGCTCACCCACCCTTGCAAAGAAATGTTTCTTGGGAGAGCACATGGAGACGCAAGGGAAAAAACGCACGTAGGCGCCTCTTCCTTAGATTTCTGGTAAAGTAGAAAGACTGGGGGCTTACGTTGTGTTCTTCTTGATTTTCAAGGCTATGTGTGGGCTCCCAAGGATTGGAACTGAAAAGACTACATAGAGGATACCCTGCTCTGTACCCTAAGCATTAATAGCAAAACAGCAACTGACAAGGGGTGAGAGGGGAATGGAACCGCGCAAAGAAGGTTCGTGCCCACAAGTTAGACAAACAACAGACTTTATCCAGTACTCCGGGTCCCCCTAAATTGGGGTGGGGCCCTTCTCCTTCCCATACGGCCTCCCGGACTGGCAACAGTGAGAAAGGGGTTAAGTGGAGAAGGGGGTGCTCCTCCGCCCCCACGCCGTCTCCGCGCCTCGGCGTGGCCGCTCCTTTAGCGGCTCCCCGAGTTGCCCAGCGAGGTCGCGGTCACCCTCGGGAGGGGGCCCCGGGTGCCCCCGTGTTCAACGGCAGGAGGATCCCGGGGCTGTCCCTGTCCCCAAGGCCGGCGGGGGCTGCGGGAGCACTCACCAATTTGGGTTTGTTTTTCGTTTCCTCTTCATTGCCGGCCCGATTCCCCGTGCTCCGCTTGTTGCTCCGGCCCCCACCGGGTTCCTCGCTGCCGCCTCCCGCTCCCGACGCCGCCGCCCCGGGCTGCTCCATCTTTCTCCGGCCCTGTCACCTGTGCCCTATAACCCCACCTCTCCTCAACTGAGGAAGCCCCCTGGAGTGCTCGCGCTGCCCCGCGCTGATGCGGTAGCACTTCTTCCTGTGTGAGAGTGTGTCTGCCTGGGGAGCTGCAGATTTCAGGCCCCCGGGACGTAACACGCCGTTGCCAATACTCGGTGCTGGGGCAAGCCCTGCCCCCGAGCAGCTGTAATTACCACGGTCGCCGCCGCCCTCAGGGCGGTGTTTAGGGTGGAGGGAAAGTAGGTGCCTATCACTTTAAGAGGGCCCCAACACACGTGATTCATCAAAGTTCCCGCAGTCAACCGCCCGGCGCTGAAAGCTGCTTCCTACTCCCGGTGCCGAGCCGGCCCCAGCTACTGAGCATGCTCAGCGCAGCAAATGGAGCTTAGTAAGAGGACTTTAAACTGCGGTTAAGCCCTGGTTTCACTTCCTAGTGGCCTGGCGTGAAACGGGAGGGAACTACTCAAGAGAGGAGGTGTAGCCCATTTTAGAGACGGGGAAACTGAGACCCGGGGAGGATTCACGTGTGACTTTCACTGGCGGCTCTCCCATAGTATCAGCTTCCACCAGGGCAAGCCAAAGCACCTTTCCTCCCAGAGGCCTTGCTGAGGGTGTGGTCTTGCTATGCTCTGTGGGAGAGTTTGATTGGCAAGGCAACTGGCATCCTATAGGAAAACCACGGGAAGCGCTGATTAATTGCCTTGACAGACTGTATAGGTCAAAGTGAAAAGAGTGGGTGTTTTCTGTTGCCATGATTGCGTTGAGGTTAAAGAAATACAGGCGTTCCTTTATTCCGGTGCTGCCGGGTTGTTGAAGCAGCAGGTGCCCAACACTTAATCCCAAGGGGGTGTTAGGCTCTTAAACCAAAGCACCTATATTTGAACTAACAGTTGAATTGAGTACTGTTTGCAGCTTTCCAAACTAGTTTAGGTTTAGGATTGTTGTGAGGAGTGATTAAGATCATGTTTGTTAAAAAGTTTTGTTTAAAAATGTCAATCCCTAGACAAACGCTAGGCGTTTCTGTGCAGCAGCAACAGGGCACTGGGTGTACTGTTGTTAGTCTTTAGTCCTTAAATCGTACCTCAAGGCTTATGCTACATTTCTTCCATTCCCTTTAAACAGGGTCATTTAAAAAAATAAAGATACATGCTGAGAACATTAGAGGAGCAGGGTAGGATTTGAATTCACCACCACCTCAGAATAAGAGTACATTTGCTAGAGAAGATATCTGAAATGTAAATTTAGATAGTAAGTCTGTAAACATGTCTATATGCCTATGTCTGTTACTCAGATATCTTCAGACTGTGACTCCTTTTGCCCTTCTCCCCTTCAACCTAAATGTCCTCAATTGGATAAAAAATAGTATGCTGAATCTAATTTATATCTGAACATATTTATTGAGAGTACATTAGGATGAATTTGACCATGATACAGGTGTGATGAGGCAATTAAACTGAACAGTAGAGTGGAAAGAACATTAGATATCTGAAACCAGTTTTAATCCCAGCGTTGTCATTTACTTTCTTTTTAATCATGCAGATGTGACTTTTCTACTCTGATGGTGGTAGACTACTTGAGGACAGCAGAGGAGAGGGAATGCATGCTCCCAGACAGGATGCACAAGTAACTTTAAGGTAAATTTTGCTTTGTTAAAGTTCCTGTTTGATTTAAAATTTCATGTATGTTTTGAATTCAGCTCACTCTACACACACACACACACACACACACACACACACGGACACACACACACGGACACACACACGATTGAAATTACTTCCCAGGAAATTATTTAAATGTCCCCCTTCCTACATAACTGAGTAAGTAAAAAATGGATGCTGCAGAAAGATGTAACCTGTTTACCTTGTGCTTTCATGTAATCCCTGTATGAGCGATATGGTCGTGGGCCATAGCTGAGAGTCCTCCAGACTCAAACATTGCTCAATAATCTGCTCAGTAGACATTTATTGAGCTTCTAGAGTATACCAGGTGCTACACGGAGTACTGTGGGATAGAAGGATGAAGATTACACAGTTTCTGCCCTTTTAGAACCTCATAGTCTATTGGGACAGACAGATAATTAAAGAACAGCCCTGTTGTCTTGCAGAGAAGGAGCCCATGGAACACATGAGAGAGGTAACTAATGGAGTGTCAGAGGCTCAGGGAAACATTCCCAAAGGAAATGATGTTATAGCTGAGTCTTAAGGGTTTATTTAAAGTCAGTAAACATTTGTTGAGAACCTCCTAAGTATTAGGTATTGTGCTAGGCGTTATGGGTAGAATGGTGAACCAGCAGACATGATCCACTCTTATGGAGCTTTCAGGCTATTAGGAAAGATACTGAACAAAAATGTAGTGAGCAATTACAAGGCAAAGAAGGAGAGTGAAGAGCATTCCAGGTAAAGGAAACAACAATAGCATATGCAAAGACCCAATGGTTAAGGAATTGGTGGTGGGAGAGGAACTACTGACAAGAGAAGCAGCAGAACAGCTAAGAAGGTTCCATATCATGAAAACCCCTACTTGTAGATCTCATTGGTGTTGTTTTAAAGGGGGGCGGGGAGTGTTGTGATATGAATGACTTCTGTTTCAAGTATGTGTATAAACCAAACCAAAACCAACCTTGTTGCGCCAAGTCAATTTCGACTCATAGCGACCCTATAGGATAGAGTAGAACTGCGCCATATGATTTCCAAGGAGCCCCTGGTAGATTCGAACTGCTGACCTTTTGGTTAGCAGCCGTAGTTCTTAACTACTACGCCACCAGGGTTTCCAAGTATGTATGTATAGACCTGAAAAGTGGATTGACGTTATTTTGAAAGTAAAGTTGGGCCAGGCTAAGCTACATTTGAAATTAGAGGTATATGTAAAAGAGCCATAATCTGTAGCGTAAAAAGTGAAAAAGTCTGTCCCTGATAAGGCTTACATTAACTTCATTGTGGTTATCTCTGTCCCTGCCTTAATTCTTGATGTTTGTTTTTCAGTGTTTTGCTCCAGTTAATGTACACAGTAATTAAAATAAAATAAAACTTTCCTTCAGGCATTAGGGTCATTGGCCTCTCTTGGAAGTGAACACGCCAAAGGAGCCACAAGGACACTGTCCACTGATTACAAACCAGGCAACTTGCCAACTGCCCCCCTAGGCTGATTTGACTGCACCCACGTTCCTTTATTTTTTACCTTCCTGGGACACGCAAATAAGTTGGGGAATGGAGGTCCATCTTTTCCCTGAAGCTGAAGAAAGAAGAAGGCTACCACGATCAGATTGTACATCAAAATTGTATGTTAGAACCACTGACCTTGCAATCTCTCCCGCCAGACTTTCATGAGTTTAGCATCCAGTCAGCATTAAAAAGCCATCCCTGGGAGAGAAGAAAGGTAAAAGGTTGCTAAACTCTGTCTTTCTTCAAACTGATTTTAGAACCTTCCATTACCCCAGAGGTTTCTGATGATCCTTATAATATCCATTTATACTCCCTCTGGCTTCCTGTCTCCCTTTTGCTGTGTGTTCTCATCTAAATAATCTGGGTCATTAATAAATTAAAGGAAACATGGATTAGAGAAAAGTGAGAAATAATCAGCTTCGAGGTCACAGACAAATATTTATGAATTAAAGTTTACCTAAGAATAAATATGTATTTTTTTAATAATGTTTTACTGTGTTGTCAGTGAGAGTTTACACAGAAAATTAGGTTCCCATTTAATAATTTCTACACAAATTATTCAGTGATGTTGGTTACATTTGTCACAATGTGTCAACATTTTCATTCATTCCATTCTAATTGTTCTGTTTCCAGTGATCTAGTTTCCTTGCCCCCTTAACCTTCTTTCTCATCTTTGCTTTAGAGTGATTGTTGATCATTAGTCCCACATAGATGATTTTTTAAAGGAGCACAGTACTCATGGGTTGTATTCTTTATTTTATGAACCACTCTATTGTTTAGCTAAAAGGTCGCCTCGGGATAGTTTCGGTTCAAGGTTTAAAGGGTATCTCAGGGTGATAGTCTAGGAAGTCCTCTCTTCTCAACCAGTCCAATAAGTCCGGACTTAAGAATTTGAGTTCTGGTCTACATTTTTCTCCCATTCTATCAGGATCCATCTATTGTGGCCCGATCAGAATGGTCAATGGTGGTAGCCGAGCACGCTCTAGTTCTTCTGATCTCAGGGTGAATGAGGCCATGGTTCATGTAGACTATCTGTCCTGTAGACTAGTTTCTTCTCTGAGTCTTTGGTTTCCTTCTTTCTCTTTTGCTCCTTACGAGTAGAGACCAATAGTCATATCTTAAATGACCACTCACAAGCTTTTAAGACCCCAGACACCACTCACCAAACCAGGATATATGAACTATATTATGCCAATTAACTGAGTTGTCCCATGAGACTATGGTCCTAAGCCTTCAAACTCAGAAAACCAAATTTGTGAGGCGTTTGGTTACGTCTAAGAAGTATTTGTAACTGTACACCTATGTGGTTTATTATATGTATAAATATATATACATACACATACGTACATATAAATATAGATGTATCTATATGTGTATACATATGTTAGTACATACATATGAAGCCTTGATGGTGCAGTGGTTAAGACCTCAGCTGCTAACCAAAAGGTTGGCAGTTCAGATCCACCAGCCATTCCCTGGAATCAACTCAATGGCAAGAGGTTTGATTTGATTTATATATACATATGTAACCACAAACATTTTTTTTGGTTATTGTTGATGTTGTTGCAAAATTATATATGTCTTAACCTTTACCAAAAATGTCCTTTTCTCTTACGTATTTCTTATTGGCATCATTTGTCTTGGTCAAGCTGTGTGCACTTCATCCACATTTAGTGCTACTTTTCCCATCACCCAAAATAAGTGTCTAATATCTAGAGAGTAATTCCCCCTCCCCCCATCCCTGCTAACCACTGGTGAACGTTGATCTCTGTATATATACCTATTCTTGTACTATTGTAAATAAAAGTTCAATCATACATTTGTTCTTTTGTTATTGACTTATTTTACTCAGCATAATGTCCCCCAGATTCATCCACATTATAATATGTTTCGAGAACTCATCATTATTCTTTATGGCTGTGTAGTATTTCATTGTACATATGTACCACATTTTGTTTATCCATTCATCCATTGATGGGCACTAAGGTTATTTCCATCTTTCTGCTATTGTGGATAGTGCTGCAGTGAACATGGGTGTGCATTTGTCTACTCATGTCTCTTTTATTAGACCTCTGGGGTATATACCTGAGAGTGCGATTACTGGATCATAAGGTATTTCTATTTCTAGTTTTTAGAGGGAGCACCATACCATTTTCCATCATGGTTTTACCATTTTACAGTCCTACCAGCAGTGGATAAGTGTTCCAATCTCCCCACATCCTTGCCAACAATTGCTGTTTTCTGTTTTTTTTAATAGTGCCATTTTAGCAAGGGTTAAGTGGTATCTCACTGTAGTTTTAATTTGCATCTCTCTAATTGCCAGTGATCACCAGCATTTTTTCATGTGTTTGTTGGCTGCTTGAATGTCCTCTTGAGTAAAGTGTCTGTTCATGTCCTTTGCCCATTTTTTAATTGGGTTGTTTGTCTTTTTGTTGTTGAGTTGTTAAAATCTTCTATATATTTTAGAGATTAGACCCTAATCAGCTATGTCATTCCCGAAGAGTTTTTTCTCAGTCTGTAGGTTCTCTACTTACTCTGTTCATAAGTCTTTTCATGAGCATAAATATTTAATTTTTAGGAGGCCCCAGTTATCTAATTTGGCCTCTGTTGTTTGTGCATTTGTAGTTGTGTTTCATAATATATTTTTAGGTCCCATAGTTTTTTCCCTATGTTATCTTCCAGGAACTTTATAGTTTTAGGTTTAACATTTAGGTCTTTGATCCATTTTGAGTTAGTTTCTGTGTATGGTATGGGCTATACCTGTTTCATTTTTATGGAAATGGTATCCAGTTTTGTCAGTACCATCTGCTAAAGAGACTGTTTCTTCCCCATTAAATAGACTTTGATCCCTTGTCAAAAATCAGTTGTCTGTCGATGGATGGATTTATTTCTGGCTTCTCAGTTCTGTCCTCTGGTCTATGTGTCTATCACTGAACCAGTACCAGCCATTTTGATTACTGTGATTGTATGATATGTTTTGAGGTCAGGGAGTGAGAGACCTCCTACTTTCTTCTTCTTCTTCAATATTGCTTTGGCTATTCAGGGCCTCTTACCTTTCCATATAAACTTGGTGATTGGTTTTTCCATTTCAGTACAGAAGGTTGTTGGAATTTGGATCAGGATAGAACTATATCTGTAGATCACTTTGGGAAGTATTGGCATTTTCTACCAATCCATGAGCACAGAGTGTTCTTCCATTTATGTAGATCTTTTTTAGTCTCATGTAGCATTTATACTTTTCATTGTATAGGTCTTTTACATCCCTGGTAAGGTTTAAACCCATTGCCGTCAAATCAATTCCATTTATTCCTCAGTATTTTATCATTTTAGGGGCTATTATAAATAATATTGTTTTCGTGATTTCCTTTTTGGAGTTCTCCTTGTTAGTGTAGAGAAACCCCACTGATTTTTGTGGATTGATCTTGTACTATGCAATTTTGCTGAATTCTTCTGTTAGATCCAGTAGATTTCTTTTGGAATCCCTGGCATTTTCTATGTGTAAGATCATGTCATCTGTGAATAGAGATGCATAGTTTTACTTCTGTTTATCCGATTTGAATTTCCCTCTCTTGCCTTATTGCTCTGGCTAGGACTTCCAGTACAATATTGAATAAGAGTGATGATAATGAGCATCCTTGTCTCATTCCCATTTTCAAGGGGAAGGCTCTCAGTCTTTCTCCATTGAGAATAATGTTGGCTGTTGGTTTTGCATATAAACCAGTATTTATTAAGCATATACTATGCAGCTAAAACTAATCTAGATTTTGTGCTGATATAAAACTGCCAGACATTTCTGCAAGAATGCCATATATCTGGAATTCTGTGTTCGGCAAAATTGCACACTGAAGATAATAAGGCTTATAGAAAAAATATGGTTAAGAAAGGACATTCAAATCTGATACAACTTTGTAATCAGAGCACTAACTAAAATAATAACTATCCTAATAAAAAATACTCACACAGTTAAGTCTCCACTGGCATTTGCACCCAGAATCACAGTCATCAATTCTTAGTAGCCTTTGTGCTTCCCCCTGCCCAATGTGGGTCCTCAAGGGAATTCACTTTTAATAGATGCCGTTTTTATCATAATTAAAAATCTAATGCAGGGAGTTGTCTTCTTAATCAATTTTTTTTTAAAACACATGATGAGATGTCTTCACAACTTCATTATCGATATTCTCAGCTTCACCAGAGAGTTTAATGTTGTGCAAAACTTAGAGGTTGTTGAAGCTACTAAACCAGCCACTACTTACAGTAAAGGCAGTCTTGTGCAGGATTCTTTGCTTTTACTTGAAGTCTTCACATATTGCTAAGGCTTTTTTTCACTTGTGAAAAAGCTTGCTCCTGATCACTTTAAAACTTAAAGTGCTAAGAAAAATCACACATGAACCAACTAGACTTTCACATTATTCTTTTTTTTTATTGTGCTTTAGGTGAAAGTTTACAGCTCAAGTTAATTTCTCAAACAAAAATTTATGCACATATTGTTTTGTGACATTAGTTGCAATTCCCACAATGTGATAGCACACTCCCCCGTTCCAACCCCGGGTTCCCTGTGTCCATTTAACCAGTTCATGTCGCTTCCTGCCTTCTCATCCTGCCTACGGACAGGAGCTGCCCATTTGGTCTCGTGTACCTGATTGAACTAAGAAGCACACTCCTCAAGTGTATTATTTTTTGTTTTATACTCCTGTCTGATCTTTGAAGAGTGGGCTTTGGGAATGGTTTCAGTTCTGGGTTAACAGAGTGTCCAGGGGCCATAGTTTTGGGGGTTCCTGCAGTTTCTGTCAGACCATTATAGACTTCCACATTATTCTGACATCATTTTCCTATTTACCAATTGCTAATAAGCTATTTGTGGTACACAAACACTTGTAATGGAACAAAGTGTAAAAGGTAAAATCTCTGCCATCAATGCGCATAAAATCTACTTAAGAAAACTGACATGTGAAACAGTAAGATAAAATCAGCTGCCTAATTCAGAAGTATTGATTCTAAATTCAACATAGTATAGTGAAGGGGTAAGATCAGTTGGATCAGAATGGATGAAGTTTTTGAGGAGAAGGTAAGACTTTAGCTGATGAGCTATGAAGCAGAGATCAGACTTGAATAGGAAAAGCAAAGAAAGGCAATCAAGGAAAAGAGGATGACATAAATAAAGCATAGCCTGGAAACAATAATGACCGATAATGCTGAAGGGCCGGTGAGGCCTGACTATAATGATGAGAACGTAGATGTTGAATAATAGTAGGAAACATGGTTGTCGCCACAGTGTTTTCCCAGTATGTAAACAGGTTTGAATGCAAGACATAGTAGTAGTAACTGATAAGGATCTTTAGCAAGGAGGTTATAATGAAAGAAGTATTTTAAGGAACTGGTTCTGATAGTGGTATGCAGGATAACTTTGAACACTAATTATCAAACTTCTTTTTTTTTCCCTTTCTTACAGAATTTTTCCCCCAAACAAAATCCTTCACA